TCTCTCTCTCTCTCTCTCTCTCTCTCTCTCTCTCTCTCTCTCTCTCTCTCTCTCTCGTGTTCTGTGAGTGAATATATGTCTGCATGTAAGTTACGGTACATGCACATGGACACAAAATATGTTATTGATATGGTGCATGCATATGAACGCAACTATGTCAGTGATGAGGGATACTAAGGATTGATTTTGTTTGCTTGCAAGTTCTCGTGCAGGCACATCAACGGACTCGACAGTTTCTGGGAAGGATTCGCATGCTATATGCACGTTAAAAATTAAAAAAAGAGTACATATTTAATATTTTCCAACCATAAGAGATTTTCCATTACCTGGCAAACCTTGGTCACAATGCAACATGCGTAACCTGCCCTTTGAAAAAGCACCGAAGGAGTGGAAAAGACATCCATGCCCTGTATATGCCCGAGAACTTCCGAGAAGATCGTGCATGTTTCTGTGTGTGTGTGTGTGTGTGTGTGTGTTGTGTTGCACGAGTTTGTTGTGTGTGTGTGTGTGTGTGTGTGTGTGTGTGTGTGTGTGTGTGTGTGTGTGTGTGTTGCACGAGTTTGTTGTGTGTGTGTGTGTTGTGTTGCACGAGTTTGTTGTGTGTGTGTGTGTGTGTGTGTGTGTGTGTGTGTGTGCCCTGTACATGGAGGACGAGGAGGGTACGTACCTGCTGCCTGCACGGAGGATGAGAGAGACATGGAGGAAGAGGAGGCCCAATGGTGATGCGGCAACGTCCAACTCCCGCAACGTGCCCAAGTCACGCACAGGCAGAAGGCACAGCAGAACTCGAATTCGAATTTGGCCCGATCTGGGCCGTAGATGTCTTAGATCTAACGGCCCTGAGCGGACCATTTTCATTTTCGATTTGGGAGGCCCTACAGGCCTCAGAAAAGTGGTGCGCCCCTCCCAGGGGTACATCATACCTGAAATCCCACCCCCGCAAGCCCAAAAGCCTTAAAACTCCCGTTCACGGATTTTTCCACCAGCCCGAACTTCGGGCCCAGCTCGGACGACCGGGGGAGTTGTCCGATCGGACAACCCGGCCCCAAAAAGGGTCCCGGACGTCCGGGCTGGTAACCTAGCGTTCTAGTTATTTTCTGTTTCTTTGATTTTGCATTTCTTTCTCTCAGTTTTTTTTCACAACGTAGTGATGACACTCGTCGCTTGCCTGCCTTCAATCATGATGTCACCTGCGTTGAGAGCAAAGATGCGAAGTGCAGAGGGTGACGGGCACGACGCGGTCGAGGGGAAAGATGAAGAGGATGAGGATGATGACGAGGATGTGGATCGGGGACAAAAAGGGTAGAATCAAAGATTTGCCTGGTGTAAAATACCATTGTATTCAAGGAGTGAAAGACTTGAGAGAAAAAAGTTGATAAAAGGGTATAGAGTCGAAGATTTGCCTGGTGTAAAATACCATTGTATTCGAGGAGTGAAAGACTTAACAAGGAAAAAGTTGATAAAGCACGCAATAGATTATTTTGTTTAACTGTTATGCAATATTTTTTGTATGCAAAAAATCGATTGAAAGTTGATCCGGCTTCAGCTTTAATAGGCTTTGTTAAGTTTGTTTGTCAAAAAAAGAGAGTTAGAGTAGAATTAAAGGTAATAAAGTAGGCAAAAAAAAAAAAAAAAAAAAAGTAGGCAATGTGGTAAAAAAGAAGAAACTAGTTTTTTGAGAGTCTGTAAATCTCAATCCAAAAGTCCAACAAGAATGAATACCTAAGAGGCTAAGCGTAAAAACTAGACTTTCATATTGACTGTTGGATATTGAAAATGATATAGCAATTGTAAAACAGGAAAACGTTCGCTACTTCAATGTGTACCTTTGCCACTAGCACCTTTTAGTATGGTTGGTAGTTGTTCATATATGCACCTGTAATTTGTCTTAAATGAAACTGACAAAATGCTCAGAAAGCCAAAAAGTCTGTGATTGTTTTCAACCAATGGGATTTGTGAATTTGAAGGGTACATGGATTTTCCGAAGGTCAAATGCAGGCACGAACTGAAGTAAGACATGCTGGACTCAAAAGCAGAACTTAAAGAAGTGGGCGTCCGGTCTCCTTCCTGTATGTATTATTATGGAGTAAATCAACCAAGGGTAGCGTTGCCAACTTGAAAATGCGCGTGGAAAAGCACTAGGTCAAGCTTTTTGTTGTTAACTTTGACTTTTCTTCTGATAGAAACACGACAGTTTATCCTATCCTTTTATAGTTATTCAATCAAAAACCAAGTAATAAGATAGTGGCATTTACAAGAAAGATGTCTGGAAAGATGGATGAAAAATCATTGTTAAACATGGCTATCTCCTCTTTTTTGGTCGGCGGCCGGTCAAATACATCCCATGTTGTACTAAGCGGGCGACCATGAATCAGTTAGAGAGGTGGACGAGGGAGGACATCCATTTTTGTGGACTCGGACAATTTGCGTGTCTATTTTTTTGTTTTACTTTCATCTTTTTTTCCCCTTTTTTTCCCCTTTTTTCCCCTTTTTTTTCCTTTTTTTTTCTGGGAACAAGGCTCCATTCGTGGGGAGCAGCACGTGCTGAGAAGCGGGCCCAGCATCCTCACGAAGAAGTTTTGAAAATTGGGCCCGGTTCCATATGGGCCCGGTTCCATATGGAAGTTTTACATAGAAGTTTTGAAAAATTTTGAAGTTTTAAGATACCGGGGCCATTACCCGGCTTTGGCTAGGAAAATTTTGAATTACTTAGCAAATTACTATGACAAACTTCGGGAATAAGAAAAGTTCAGAAAACGACTCAGAAACCCCCCACCAATCCTCTTTACCTCATTCTGGGAAGACTTGCTGCAGCAGAGCCACCATCTCCGCTGCTGCTGTACCCTATTTCCGTTCTACAAGATAGCCCCCTCACTAGTAGGACGCTTGGATATCCAACCATCTACTTCTCCATGCAGAGGGCCCTTTTGTTCTTAGAAGAGCATTCAGATCGAGAAATACTTGGCTTAGATCCTTTCAGTAGCCGACCCCTACCTGCCTCATCCCTGTATCCCGATACTTAGTCTCTACTAGGCCTCACACCCCCAACTGCTAGGTTACAGAGTGGCACTAGTGGCACGACCCACCCCAGAAAACTCCCACCTGCTAGGCTACAGGGCAAAACGACCCACCCCGGCTCCGACCAGCATCGTCCAAGTACCAGCTTACCAAAGGACACTAGAGTGCCTTCCACCCTCAACAACTCCCCAGATCTCTCTACCAGGTCTCTTGACCTCTTACAGCTCGACTTACAGGGGAAAATGTTTGGCAAACAGAAAAAACTTATGCGCGACCAAGCCCCAGCACCGACCAGCCTCGTTCTGGCCTCGTCCATTCGCAAGCCCAGGGGGACCCAAGACTACAGCAAATACCAGGCAAACCACCAATCAGCACCATAACTGTAGATCCGATCACTCAGCTCCTTAGGGCACTGGTTGCAGATATCCCACAATTTGCGCTCTCATTCACTCTCGTTCTTAGGCCTTTTGAGCGCATAAACTCGTCATGAATCCGGTTGTGGAGAGGCCGCGCCCTCTGCCAACTAAGCTATTTTCCCATCTGGGTAAAAAGTAGACGCAAAGTGAGTGGCTGCCGCTTTCTTTCTTTCTTTCTTTCTTTCCGTCTCATTAATGAAACAAGTGAGATGCATTGCGTAAAGTCTCTGAGGATCCCAAACAGCTCGGCGGTCGCTACTTGATAAGACCACTCAGATTGTCAAATAATGGAGCACAAATTTGTAACATATGTGTTTGCTTATGTACTAAGGACATGTATGTTGAAATAGGTCATTATTTTTTCATTCTTAGCATTTTTGTTGCATTAGCCTACAAAAAAAATAATCTATCTTTTTTTTGTTCACTAGGAGCTGATAAGAAACCCGAGAAAAGCCGGCCCGTGGGAGCCTGGCATTTTCAACTACTACTCCTTTGCGGCTCCCCTGGCGAGCCTGAGTCGTATTATACACTTATTGTGGTCTTCATGTGGTCTTACGTTATCAACTAAATACAAACTTAGGTCTTTGAGAAAAACAGTGTATCGGGGACCCGGCTCTTGCGAGCCCTTTGGCACGCGTCCCCGGGTTTTGGGGTAGTAAGTGTTAATTACCCCCCGACCAATAAATAGATACAAATAGAAATAACCAAACCACACCAACAAAATGCCAATACCAAGCGGCAGCTTCAAACCCGAAATGGTGTCGCCCCGGATCTTATCTTCACTGGCGATGTGTTTGATGGAGTGGAAAGAAAGGTACAAGGGGCGTCTGTGCTTTGGATGGATGTCTGAGTGGTTGAAGGTATCATACAATGGATAATCCGCAGGAAA